AATGGTTTCGTATGTGGTCTCTATGAGCTGGAATCCGCGCAATCGTTTAGTAAAGTGTCTCTCTACTTCTTCCTAAATTTACCTCTGTCACGGCAGCGAGGCTTCCGGCTGCCTCCAATCAAGACCTGCTAGTCTCGGCTCGTCTATGTAGCGGCTGCAGTGCATATAGTGTGTTCCTAGTAGGCAAACGGATTACTCGTAGGCTGTCGGTTGAACTTGAGTCGAATTGTGTGACCGCTTCTCCCATTCGCTGTGCTGCCTACTCCAATGTGAGGTGAAGGATGCTCCTTGCAGGCCTAGCCGTGAATGAACACTTCGCCTGAAAGGTTGCCCATGTTGATTATCGGAGTGTGGCCCCAACCGTGAATGTATGATTGTCTGGGGGCTTAACCAAGAGTGCACGCTCATTCGCCCGCTAAGACGAAAGTCTACGCTATATCAGGGGCCTAGGCTAGAGTGTACATTGTTAAAACGCTTGGTTTGTGGCTGGTCGATAAGCTGCTTATCGGGACGTTGTTGAAGAGAAACATTATCGCTTGCCCTTATCCTACTTTTGGACACCTCGTCTGGGGTACGTTGCATTTCGGTGCGCTACATGAGGTGACTAACCAAGGTAGTCTGTTGCATGAAGGTGTTTGTCAATTCGGCGACTTGTTGGGATAAGTGTTGTTCACCATTTGGAGTGGAATAGCTGGGATGGTAGACGTATGCTTGAGTTGTGGAAGTGTAATGGGCTTCAGGTGCAAAGCTTGAGCTAGGATAGGTCAGATCTGTAGTAAAGTAAGGTGTAAATACCCTTGGTTTAACCGTCGACCTCGGGATCTGGATCTAGGCAGGTTGAACTGGTCTGGGACTATGCTGGACCGTCTGGTGGGTTGTAGGAGCAGGTTGGGCGCATAGGCGCTGGGCCACCTCAGTCGGCGCTACTTGGGCTGCCTTAGTCTGTGTAACTCGCATCCAAGTGAAGGTGGTAGGTGCTAAACGCTGCTGTCGAGGGCAAGCAGTTGCTAGGGTATGCGCCTGCTGGCCGCTTGTGCCTGGGGCCATCTACCCTAGGGTTTCCTCGGGTTGTGTGGAGGCTGCCTCGTAGGCCATTGCTCGCATGGCTACAGTATCTCGTGGTGGTAAAGGTGTAGTCCTTGCCGTGGTGAGCCTCGAAGAGCGACGACTTAGAGCCACGTCGCGATCTCCATTGGTTGTTCCATATCTTACCATCATAGTCGTGGATCTATGAATGAAGGAAATTGAAAACGAGAGTCTTCTTTGAGTCTTTGAACCAATTTGTGGATGTAAATTTTCGCCTTTCCTTGATTGACGAATCTACACCAGCAAAATAATAACATCTAATATTAAGGCCAAAAGCATCACACACCCACAATGAATGGTGGGGGGCTTTGGCCAGAGAATCTTTGATGCCAAAGTTAGAATTCTATAAGAAAATGTGTTTGAGTGTTTGTGGGAAGCAAAAAGCCTCTTTAGGGGTAGTGAAAGCTTACTGAATTTTGGAGATAAAGGGTGTATTTATAAGAGAGGAGGAGGATATGGGCCAACCCTTTAGGGTTTAGGAGTGGCCGGCCCTAGGTGGTATTTTGGGTGGAATATTCTAAAATATTTGCGTAAATAAATATCTTAGAATAAATAGGTAAATATCCTAAATAAATGGGATTATGATTACTTACTTGAAAGAGGTCTTTTCTGATTATGAATGTATTTATGATAAGAATAAGGGATTATTTTATCATAAATACCTTTGACTTCCCTATGGGCAAGGGTGTCTTGAGCAGTGGTTGATCTCTGCCTGCTCTACCTTAGCTGCATGTGGTGAATGAGGCTTGTCCTTGCTCATTTAATAGGGGCAGTCTTGTCTTTCTTGGGACATAATCTACGTGTCAGCTCCATGGTTTTTGGGATTATTTTTGGCTCCACATAACAGGTTTCGGGTGAACACAAAAACTAATTGGGTCGTTATTGGGTCACAAGATAAGAACCTATTAATAATGGGTCTTTAATAGGTTTACACGAGGATGACACGCGATTGACCTGTTTCAAAACGATAAGAAAAAACTTATTTTGATGATTTTAATTTTTTAAACTACTAAAAAATACAATGGTCATAGTGTATATGTATATATTGTCAATAAATATGTAGTACTATATTATTATTCTATATAAATTTAAAGAAAATTTATGTTTTATTTATTTTTATAGTATACTATATGCAATGAGTGAGATTAAAAAAATTATAAAACAAATTAAAATAAAATGATCAAGTAATTTAACATACCAGACACATTAAAAAAAATTATACTAATTATTTACAAGTGCGAAAAATATGAAAAAAAAATATGCAAACGCTCGTGATCGCATCCTTTACGTTTTGAGGATGGGTACATCGTCGTTTAAATTTTTAAAACCATACGTACCCTCATGATAGTATTTTTGAGAGAGTTCAAAATAAATAAAATTTATAATCATTAATGTACAAGTATGAAAAATGTGAAAACATATATAAACATTTGTAATTGCATCCTCTACGCTTAAACGATGGTTACATGGTCATTTAGATTTTTAAAATCCTCCAAATCTCATGACTAGTATTTTTTATTTGAGTGCAAAATTAATAATAATTGTTATAGGAGTTTGAAAAATGTAAAAAAAAAAAAATACAATCAAACGTAACGACTAACTTTACAATTTTCGTGAAGTGGTCAACTCCAAAATCCAACACCATAATCCGTAAACATTAGATTTAAATTTAGGGAACTTTAACGAAAAACTTCTGGTACTGTTCATTTTAACGAAAAACCACATTTTAAACTAAAAAGTCAATCCTGGTTATAGTTAAAACTCAAAGTTTTCAAGTTATTTTCATTAGTTTTCCTTTAAATTTAACCTATATTGTCGTTTACGCTTTATTCTACTCATTGAATTTCATTTTTTAGCTTTTCATTATTTATTGATTTAAAATATATTTTCTTTAATGAGTAACAGATCGGGTCATATTACTTGATAATATTAACGGGTCGATTTCGAGTTGGGTCATATTACCCGTTTACTTTAACAGGTATTACACGACACGAACCGTTCAGATATCGGTTATGTCACGAAAACGATACGAACACAAAAAACACGACATAAATGTCAGGTCTATATAAAACTATAAATTTTTTTTATTATTTAAACATTTTAAATCCATATATTAATATTCAATTAGACTAGTGGGACCAGTTATGTGCCACATCAGCATATAACAAAAATTTTGACGGAATTGTAACGGAAAGACTGCATTATTTTGCAACACTTATTTTCAGGGACTACCTTGATTGATATTCAATTTCAGAGATCATTTTGATGGGTGGATCAATTTCAAAGACTATTTTAGATATATATATATATATATATATATATATATATATTTTGTTTATAATGAGAATGCATTTCATTAAATAACTAAAAAAATCGAAATACAAAAAAAAAAAAGACATCGACCCAAAATCTGTCTGGAGCCCAAAAAAGTAGAAGCTCAAAATCAAGTACGTTCTTGATCTTTTGTCCAAGGCCACCAAGCTTGATACTTATCCAAGACTCCACAAGCTATATATCGATCTTTAGTTGGAGCTCTTCAATACCTTGCATTGACACGATAGGATTCATTCTCCGTTAATCAAGTATGTCAGCATCTTCAAAATTTTAGAACCACTCATCTCACCACGGTAAAACGAATTCTACAGTACCTAAAGGGACCACCGGATCATGAGGCTACGTCTTACTAAGGGTTCAACCAACATCGTAGTATTCTGATACTCATTCTCAACATGACTGACGCTCTACTTTTGGATTTGCATTTTCTTTGCCAACAATCTTATTTCAATGAGTGCAAAAAAGCATACCATTGTTGCCCGCTCATCTACTGGAAGTGAGCATCGCTCTCTTGCTTACACCGTTGCTGAAATCTCTTGGCTTTGTTATCTACTCCGGGTTCTTCACTTCTACCTTTAGACACTATCTATGTTGCTTTGGGACAATTTAAGTGCCCTGGCATTGATGCTAATCATATTTTCTATGCTATGACAAATTATATAAAGATCGATTATCATTATATATGAGAATTGGTCACTAGCAAAGCCATTGGTACAGGTTATGCTGCCTCCAAGAATCAACTTGTGGACATCATCACAAAGAGCTTAGCAAGGGCTCGATTCAAGTTTCTCAATGATTAATTGCTCCTCCACCGCAGCTTAGTTTGAGTGGGGTTATTGAACATAGTCCCAGAGCTTGAAGTTCATTTTGTCACACCTCATGGACCCACCTACACAACTGAACAAACCACCCAAACTCCATCGAGAAAACTTCAGACCTCTCTGTTGACAACAAGACAAAGACAGCAATGCATTAATAAAATTGAATGAGAAGATGCTTCTAGGGTTACCAATTGTGTGGCAGTATATAAATGATTCTTTCATTCCTTGTATAGTAAATAGGCTAGCCATTTGTGTTCTTTTTCATCCGTTTAGCTTGTAAACAAATATTTTTGTCAAAAGCATAATGATCAAATACAAATCTGTGAATTTGTTCAAAGAATCGGGTAGAGTCACTTCAATCCATCTTTGTAAAATTATATTTTTGCATACAAAAGGAACTAGTGGGAACTTGTATTCAGCGTCTAAAATATCGGTATCGGTGGAAATATTGATATGCAAATTTGTGAAAATGTTGATGAATATGTTGATACCGGTATCCGTTGTTTTTTATGGAAATGATGAAAGTTTGCTAAAAACGTGAAAATTTAAAATGAAACTTTAAGGAATGCCATATGACACTTTGTTGATATTTAACTGATATATGAGAAATATCGACGAAATCTGTCTTTGATATAGGATGAAGTCTAAGGATGTAACACTAATTTTTTTGATATTTTCACGTATATATCGACCCTGTTGAAGAAATTTTAAACATTGCTTGTATCTAATAATAAATAAATTTGTATAAAATATTAAATCTTAAACCCAAATAAAATTCACGGATGGTTTCATTTTCACTTGTAAGTGAGAGCTTTTAAGTTCTATTCTCGCCAAAGACGAATTTGAACCACATTATTGTTAGTTCATTATAAGACTTAGCACACTCATTCACTCCTATAATACAGATAATATTGTTTGTTAAAAAAACAATAAAAATAAATACATGAGTTGCTACTTTGAGCCATCTGCTGCCTTAGCTTTTTATTTTCTCATTTTTAACAGCATTCATTTGTTTGATCTCTGCTATCTTTGTTTTAATCTCAGTCGCTTTTGCTGCATGATTTTCGGTGTCATTTTCTACTTCCATTTTCTGATTGCCTTGCTCAATGATAGAATCCATCTCCTTTTCGAATTCCTCAGCCTACAAAATTTTGTAAAGTAAACATCAAATCACATAGAGACTCAACGCATCTATCATTTCTTAAGAAAGTTCATAGTTTACTTATTCTCGGAAGTCATGAACGGACGTCATGGTTTCACCACACCATGACATTCTTCGCCATGGCCTTCTAAAGTAAAATTCACGCCAATTATCTTTATTTTAATTTTTAAAAAGTAAGAACAAAAAAGACATCTAATTTAGGGGCGCAAACAGAAGTTCCATTTAATTGCTTAATTAATGAAGGTACTAATGGTACGTATACGTAGATGTAATTTGAAATCAAAACATGAAATTGAATGCTGATTATGGATGCTCCAGCATTTACTGAATATCAGAGAATCAAAACGTTGGTGGGATCTAGTTGAATTTTGTAATCCAACTCCAAAATTTAGAGGAATTGGATTCCCTACATTTAGGTGGTATTTGAATTCCAGGTTTTTGAGGAAATCAGAATGAATTTTTCCTCTCCCTTATACTCTCACTTATTTCTAAAATTCTAAGCCAGTTGGATATGAAATTTAACAATTACAATAGCCATAATTACAATTAAATTAAAAAAATTAACTTTCAATGTGGTCAATATTTGGCGATTATATAACCAAAAAATTAGTATAGAAAATAATTTATATCAACTAAGGGCATTTTAGTAATTATATTGATTTCCATTTTGATATAGGTGAATTAGTAAATAGTTTATGTGAAATCTATACTAATTCTATTCCGATTCCACAAAATTTTAATAAACAACTACAATCCTAACTTGTCATCAATTCAATTCTTCCTCAATTAAGTTTCTTACATATTAATAAACGAGCCATCACATATGAACACAACATATAAATAGCAAATTAATTAATGGCATAACCTAATTGGTTGATCGGACAAGAATTAATCTTTTATTCAAAGTTTAAATAGAAAAACAAATTATAACATGCACCATCACACGTGGACACAACCTATGATCATAATAAAGTTTGACATGAGATTTATCCTACAAGTTGGCTACGCTCACGCCTACACCCTTTACCGTGTTTAGAATAAGCACATTAGTCTTCTTTTTTGTTACGCATATCCTCGTTTTAAATTCTTCATATCAACAAAATCTATATAATATGCCTAACGTTGACAACCGCTAAACACAGCTGACGGAAACATGTGACCCTCACCCGTTAATTTTAATTACGAATTTATTATATATATGGGGTTCACTTTTAAACGTGGAAATCAAGAAATCAAACAAGAGATTTGGTATACAGAAAGATCACCTTTTTAATGACATCTTCTGCTAGCACAGCATCCTTGGCTGCTTCTCTTGCCACACTCTCAACAAACCTTGCTGCCCTTCGAAGTTTCCCTTCTGGAAGATGAACAGCAATGTCGTCAGCTGCCTCCTCCACCATCTCAGCCACCTCCTCTACCATTTCTGCCGTATCTTTCATTGTATGCAGCACCGTTGAAAATGTCTCTGTACATAAGGGGGTGTTGTGCATATAGTAAAATATATTTTGAATAGTGTTGTGTGTGGTGTGTATATATGCACGGAGAATATTACAATATTCAATGATAAATACATTAATTAATTAATTTAGTGATATTTCTCTTCACGGAGAATATTACATGACAATAATAAAATATTTACATTAATTAATTTAGTGATATTTTCTTTCACTAAAATAAAAAAAAAGAAATTAAGTTTTCATCCGTCATTTTTGTATTTCATTGATTGAAAACTTATTGCTTTTAATTTATGATCAAGTACTTTTGTTTTTATCCACATTATCATTTTAATAATATAAATATTTACATATCAATATATTTAAATTTATAATTACAATTATTTAACCATTTCCAAATGGATCCATTTATTGTTAGAAACGTTACATTTGATATATTTATATTTATGGCTAAATTTGCAACCATTTTGTTAATGTACCAATTTTCTTATTAGTTTTAATTTGTCGCATATATATATATATATATTTTGTGTGACATCCCACATCGCACAGGGGAGTGATCCTTAAATGTATATTCCCATCCCTACCTAGCACGAGGCCTTTTGGGAGCTCGCTGGCTTCGGGTTCTGTAGGAACTCCGAAGTTAAGCGAGAAGGGGGCTAGAGCAATCCCATGATGGGTGACCCACTGGGAAGTTGCTCATGAGTTCCCAAAAACAAAACCGTGAGGGAATTGTAAGCCCAAAGCGGACAATATCGTGCTACGGTGGTGGAGCGGGCCCGGGAAGTGGTCCCGCCCGGGTCGGGATGTGACATTTTGTGCCTCATTTTTAAACTTTTATTTGTACCCATAATTTTTTTAATCTTTTGTTTGACCCCTTAATCTTTTATAATGTCCTCATTTTTCATAAAGAAAAATTTATATATATGTAAAATGTACCAATTTTTTTTATGTAAATTGTACCCATTTTCTTAATGTAAAATCTGTTCACTTTTTTAATTTGTAATGTACCCATATTTCATAATAAAATGTACCCTTTTTATGTAAAACATATCAATATTTAGAAATACTAATAAAACATTTTATTTTGAAAAAGTAAAAAAAATCAGATCAGACTTCACACAATTAAAAATTTGAGGAAAAAAAATAAAAATCTCTATTTGGTTTGAATCTTTGCATGATTTTAGGAAGGATTTCATAATTAAGAAAACTATAGATTTTAATCCTTAAATAAGATGAAGTTTAGAAAAATGTCTTATACAAGATTAAAAATTGATTTTAGTCCCTAGACTCTATTTAATGCTAGCATATGTATTCAATGTCTCTCTTTTTTATTTATAATTTTATGGTGTTCATAAATTAAATTTTGAAAATATTATAAATTTTAATTCTCATTATGCTAAGTATCTTATATAAGAAAATATTTTCGTAGAGATTTTTCGGTACACTTATATTTTTGCATATTTTCTTATGTGCCACTAATTCATTACAATATATATAGGTATGTACATTTCGGTACACTGGGGTAGTATAATATGTTTAGGTACGGACATTTCAGTACATTAGTTTAGTATAATATATTTAGGTATCAACATTTTGGTGCACTAGTTTATTATCATATATTTAGATACGGAATTTTCGATTCACTTATGTTTTTGCATATTTTTTTTTATGTGTCACTAATTCATTATAATATATTTAGGTACGGACATTTTGGTACACTAATTTAGTAAAATATATTATGATACGGACTAATTACAGAAAGTTAAATAAAATTAATGAATTAAATAATAAATCTAAAATTTAATGTAATAAAATTAAATAAGATATATATTAAATATTAAAACAAAAATATAATATGAATTTGAATTTATTCCACATTAAAGGACTAAAATCAATATCCAATTTAACACCAGGTTTTTATTAACTTTTAATCTTTTTCAAGAATTAAAGTTCAAAAATCCCTTAATAATTTTGTTATAAAATCTCTCAGTTTATACTAAAATTTAACATTTTGTCCTTCAATCAAAGTGTTTACGTTAATAAAGTTTCAATCTAATGCGTTAGTCAATAAGAGACCGGAACTAAAGTCTTCTAGAAAAAAATCTTTACTTTGAATCTCTCCTTCCAGATCAGGGAAAAATGTAATCAGGACGGTGATGATGGTAATGACATTAAATATCTCCTCACTCCTTACCCTTGAATTTTAGCAATGGCCACATTCTGTTCTTGCGAAAGGGTATAACTACTGAGAAAAGCATCCCCACAAGCCATAGTTCCCTGCATATGTAATATGTATAATATTGTTAACAGTAATCATGCACTGATCTGATATACAAGACCATAAATTAAAAGAACAGCATATGTGGGAAATTAATTATCTAGACAAGTATTTCAAAGAGATCAAGTATCAGAACCTCATCGATTCGACGTACCAATTAGTACCGGAAGGATCAAAAGGAAGAGGAGTTCCTGGTTCAGCACTATTGACAACCACGTCCCTGAAAATAAAGCAATACCATAAATTAGGGTTTGTCCTACAAAAGTTTGCCAGATGAACACGATTTCGTCAGGGGTAGGAATGTTACTAGATGGATTTTTTAATTTGTAGGGCAAAGCTGGTCAATGTATAAGGTTTACTCAAAACCTTTACGCGATGGAAGTTAATCGTAGGGCAAAGTACAGTTCATTGGGAAAACTTTTGACGCCAAAAGGGAAAAAATGATGTGTAATATCTGACGGTTTGCCCAACCAATCTAGTATTCATCGACCAAGTATTACTGTAGGTGGGAAAGGCCCTTTCTTTCGATACGAGCCATTGGCAAGGAATTGATGCACAGAATCTGTTACAATGACATGTAAAAATTTCCACCCACAAAACCTATTCATCAATTATAAGTCCATGCCTTCCTCTTCCTCTTTCTCCTTTGTGCCTTCCTCTTCCTCTTTCACCCTTTTTGTTCTTTGCTTCAATACCCCCTTTTCCTACCCAAACCTACTCATTCACCACGTTGTGCAAGGTTCCCAAGTTCCTCATGAAAACAACATCAGCAAAGCCATAGCTGTGGTTGCCTGAGTCCACAACCAGAAGATGACAATGCCTAGGCCCATACGGCTAGTTAGGGGAAGAAGGTACCTTCAGTTATGAAGGTCTAGGGAGTGGTATTGGTGGTAAAAATCATAGCAATAAGTACGAGAAGAGGACATTGGCGAAGCCAATTGTGGGGGTTAGCAGCAACTATAAAATTTCTAATGGTAATATTAGAACTAGTAGTTGGAAGGAATATAGGATCGCTGTGTGGAGTACTTGAGTAATTTCTCTGTGACGAAGAAGGTGATGACGATAGTTACTCGGATGTCTTGCATGTGGAAGAATATGTTGAGGATACCACACCATCATCAGAATATCCCCAACAAATCCATGAGGCAGTGCACAATTAGATTTGTCTTGTATCACAATATTAGCTGGTAGTGCGAAGCCAAAAATAATCACGAGGCGACACGTGGATTTTTAGTAAAAAGGATAAAATTACCGTTGTGGCACACCGAATTTCCTACGAGCAAGCAGTGGACAATCATTCTTCAATCAAGCCAAAAGTGCCCAAAATAGGTAACAAATTCAAAATTATTTCATCCATCCTCATCCTATATTCTCCATAAGGTATTTATTCCATAACCTTCAAAACATTCCATATAAATTGAGTTAATTGGCTAATTAATGGATTTATTACCTAATTAATCCATTAATTGCCAATTAAATCACCCATCTCACACAAAAATACCCCAAAGGGCCGGCCACCTTTTCTCCAAAGGGGATTGGCCATGCCCTATATATATCACCCCATTTTCTCTAAAAATGAGAGTTCCACACTCTTGCAAAACTCCCAAAAACTCTCCAAACACTTTTCTCTCTAAATTCTAACTTTGACATCGGAGGTTCTTCGGCCAAAGCCCCCCTCCCCATTCACCATGGGCCCGTGAGGCTATTGGCCTTGACCTAAGGTGTTATTTGTTTTGTAGGTGCAATTTTATCCAAGAACAAGGAGGAGGAAATTTGCATCCACAAATTGGTGATTTCATTGAGAGAGAGATCCACACTCGTAGAAGACTCTCGCATAAAAAGGTTTTTCTCTATTTTCTAGTCCACTTGCATTTTTTCGTACGTTCTTATTATTAGAATTTTTTATTTGCAAAGATTTTTTGATAAAACGTAAAAGAGAAATACAATGGCTAGAAATTTAGAAAATTCCAAAGAGTGAAAATTCCAATATTCAAGAAATGGGACCGCGGCGATCCACGAGACTAAATGTGATCTTAGGGGGAGCGGCACCACCACCACAAGGCTCCACCATGGCAACCACCGCAGTGACCACTACGACAATCACCCGCAGCGAGGTCCATGGCTCTACCACCACAGCCCAAGCCATGCTATCCAAGGCCCACGCCACTAAGGCCACGGCCCGAGCCATGTCACTCCATACCCAATGCAAGCCCAATACGTTGCCAAGCCGAGCCCAAGCTTCGCATTCGTGAGCATTATGCGTTGAGCAGCCTGCTCTCGTGGCCTAGCCTGCTCCTGCGGCCCAGCCTGCTTTCGAGGCCCAGATTGCTCCCATGGCCCAACCTACTCCCGTGACATTTCAAGCAGTCCAAATCGGTCTAAGATTAGTTCAACCGTCCCGACTTCAAATTTATGGGCCGACGATTGAATCAGGGGCATTTTCACCACATTTCTCCACAGATTTGACATTTCCTAACTCAAATTTTGCTTCTAGAGTCTACCACCCTTCCACTGCTCAAGGAGGTGCATTCCTTCCAGGCTACTCCAATCCAAATGGCAAACAACACTTGTCTCGACAAGTCGTAGAATTGATGAGCGCCCTTACACAGTAGACGACCTTGGTGAATCAGCTCTTATAGTGCACTGAGATGCAACGTGCCCTGGACGAAGAATCCCAAAGTAGGACAAAGGCAGACGAACCTCTCCAGTAGCGTCCCGGAAAGCAGCCCCTCAACCAACCACGATTCGAGCTTTATGGCAATTTACGCTCCCGCATGGGTCATTGGGATAGCGTATACTCTCATCTTAGCTCACAGAGGAGTGTGCATTCCAGATCAAGCTCACAGACGAGCATACGTTTATGGTTGAGGCCTCACTCCAGTTATCAACATGGACAAATCTCCAGGCTAAGCGTTTATTCATAACTAGGCTTGCAAGGAGTAGGCAGCACAGCAGACGGAGAGAAGCAGTCACTCAAACCAACTCAAGTTCAATCGGCAACCTGCGAGCAGCACGTTCGCCTGCCAGGAATGTGCCACATGCACCGCAGTCGGGAAATAGACGAGTCAAGTATAGGGAATAGTGGCCCAAACCCACATGTCATAACCAGGGGCAACCGAAAGTTCCACTGCCCCAGCAGAGGCAAATTCAAGAGGAAATTGAGAGGCTCCTAACTAAACGATTGTGTAATTTCCAACGTGATGAGGTTACTGACGATGCGTTTCGACGAGACATAACCAACATAAGCATGTCACCATTCACGAATGAGATCGAGCAGACAGATCTACCTTGCGGGTTCATTATGCCTCACTTCATTCCGTACAAGGGAGATGAAGATCTAGATCGACATCTGAAGCACTATTGCAGTACCATGATCCTCTACAAGAACAACAATGCCCTTATGTGCAAAATTTTTGCCACAACTCTACAAGGCGAGGCTTAATATTGGTTTCACACTCTACCACCGCAGTCGATCCGGAGTTTCAATGAACTTTCCTTTGTTTTCACTAAGAAGTATTCGTCTAACCGTTCAATCAAGATGGCATCTGACCATCTCTTCAACATCATGGAAGACCCTTGGGAGGTAATTCGCGACTATGTCAAAAGGTTAAAAATGGAGAAGGCCAAGATTATTGGCTGCAATGAGGACATAACAACGGCAGTATTCAGAAATGGGCTTCCCACCAAACACCCTTTATTCGAAAAATTGATCATGGGAGAAGAACTGGCCCTAGCAACTTCGTATGCTTTGGTGGAAAAACATGCACTATGGGATGAGGCCAAACAGTCTAACAAAAACGAGTCACAAAAGAAGCACATGGAACATTCCCCGATCAGAGAAGACTCAGCAGCCGAAACATTCACCAAGTTCACAATTCTAATCGGCCAAATTCTCCGTAAGCTTAAGAACGAACCTTGGTTCGAACTGGCGCTACTCATGAAAGATGATCTTACCAGGTTGGATCATTCAAAGTATTGCGCATTCTATCAAGGACCAGGCCACACTACTAACGGCTGCCTGAAGTGGAAACAGTACCTTGAGAAGCTGACAAATAAGGGTCGGTGCAATGAATATCTTGACAAGTCAATGAAACAGCCTACACAAGCAGGGAAGTTTCCATCACCCCCTGAATCCCGTTAAGGCTTTTCCAAATAAGTTCGAAGTCTTAAGCAACTCGGTGAACAAGGCCTCGCAAGCCGAGGATTATTTAGTTTGTTATGCAGTTTCTAGCTTCTAGCACAGTTGATTTATTTCTTTATTCTCAATGAAGATTCAAGAAGTTATTCCTAAGCCTGGCTCAACTGCTGTCTACAACAACTACTCAAAACCCTTTCTGGGTCTGCTCTCTAGTGCGAGAGGGTAAACCAATTCCCCGACACCCATATGGGTTTGCTCTCCAGTGCGAGAGGATAAACTAACTGTTCTCCAGTGTGAGAGGGGAAACTAATTCCCCGACACTCATATGGGTTTGCTCTCCAACGCGAGATGATAAACTAATTGCTCTCCAGTGTAAGAGGGTAAACTAATTGCTCTCCAGCATAAGAGGGTAAACTAATTCCCTGACACCCATCTGGGTAAGCTCTCCAATGTAAGAAAGCCACATAGCTCAAAAGATCAAATGCTCAAAGATCAACTAGGCAGCAAATGGTTAGGGGGCAGCAGCCACTTTTGCACTTAATAGTTCGCTCATCTGACACTTTATCTTTAGCAACACCGATCTTGGCAGCTCTATCCTTGGTTGTTCCATCTATGGCAACTGAGAAATCAAACTCAAGAAGTTTCCTTATTTTTGGCAGGCAGCCTAGACGTGGCAGCCCAAACAATTGCCCATGCCACGCCACTTCCTCGGCCCATGCCGAACCAATCATTGGCTTCAATCAAGTCGAGCTGCTCAAGCAATAGCCCCTGCCACATCACCTCTTTGGTAGGTGACAAGCCGACTCCTGGCCCCTGCCAACCGATGTGCCGCAGCACCCTAACAACTGCCACGTGGTAGCACCACCCAAGAAGAAGACAAGAAGAATTAAGTTTTTCTTGCATCGATGCGGTGCGGAGAAAATGAAGAAAGCAATGAAAAACGGTCATTTACACGGGCAAGTGTAGAAGATTGCTAGGGGAGGGGGAACAAATATCCTCTAAACTTTCTCTCTCTTGTAGGGTAGAATAAATCGCTCTCCAAAGTTGATTTAACAATCCACTTAAGGTGGACTTAAATAGGC